CAAACCCAAAGCCCATACAAGGGAGGAAATTATAAAGATCAGAGCAGAAATCAATGCAATGGAGACTAAGAGAATGATACAAAAAATCAACAAATTGAAGAGTTGGTTTTTTGAAAGAATAAATAAAATCGATAAACCCTTGGCCAACCTTATCAAAAAAAGGAAAGAAAAGGCTCCAATCCATGCAATTAAGAATGAAAAAGAGGAAGTCACAACAGACCTAGCAGAAATCCAGAGGATCATCAACACCTACTTTAAGAACCTGTACCCTAATAAAATGGAAAACACAGAAGAAATGGACAGATACGTAAATACATATGAATTGCCAAAGTTGAACAAAGAAGGTATTTTAAGAGCTATTTTAAGTGTTCTCATTACAAAAAAGGTAAGTTTGTGAGATAATGCCTACGTTAATTAGTCTGATTTAGTCATTCCACAATGGGTATGTATATCAAAACATTTTGTTGTACACTATAAATGTCTACAATTTGTATGTGAATTAAAAAATAAAACAATACTGATGATGATGACTTGGCCCCTGAGTCAAACTTCAGAAAGTGTCTTACTCATTTTCACCCTCTTCAAAGCATCTTTAGCATCATTAGATCTTTATTCATCCATAGTACCTGTTCTTTTAATGTTTATAAAACAGATGAATGAATAAATGGATCAAAGTAATAGTGTTAGATTTTTTAAATGTATATAATCTGTCTTGGTAACATTCCTTGTCACTGAGACACACTACCCAACACTCACAATTTAAAGGAGAAGAGTTTATTTTGGCTCACAGTATCAGTCTCTGGTTGGCAGGTTCAAACACCACAGAAACAACATGGTGGGAAGGACTGGCACAGAGGAAAGCTGCTCACACCATGGTGGCCAGGAAGCAGAGAGAAGGGAGGAACTGGGGAGGAAGTCCTTCCAGGTCAAGCCTCCAGTGACCTGACTCTTCCCATCAGACCCCACCTCCTAAAAGCAAGTCAGCTATAGAACCTTCCAAGCACATGAGGCTTGGGGGGCTATTTTAGATCCAAATTGCTTATAACAGTATCTATCTTATTTTTCTAGTGCTGCCAATAACAAAATACCACAGACTGGATGGCTTAAACAACAAACATTTATTGTTCATTGTTCTGGAAAAGAAAGGCATGGAAAGGTAGGTTGCACGCTGAGGCCTCTTCTTTTGGCTTCTGGGCAGCCACCGTCTCGCTCTGGGCACATAGAGTCTCTTTGAGTGCACAGGAGAGGAGATTTCTGGTGTCTGTTACCAACAGTCCTATCAGATCTGGGCCCCATCTTTATGACCTCATGTACCCTTACTTACCTAATTAAAGGCTTTATCTCCAAATACAGTCACATTGAGGTTTAGGGCTCCAAGATGAATTTAGGGAGAAAGGAAAAACAATTTAGTCCTCACAGTGTCCTATTACATAATCTGAAAATGATTCAAACTAGCACAAGATCTTTCAGAGATCACATTCTAAAATGGAAGATAGTTACATTAACAATAATTGCATAGATATGAAATTATCAGGCAACTCCAAACTGGTGATGCTATTACAGATAATAAGAATTAGCATTCAGGATGCCACTTCAGATTCCTCCACAGGTGGGGCCAGGACCAGGGTGAGGTGGGTGAGCTGCTGAGGGCTTCACATGGAGGGGGGTGACCTCCATCAAGGTCGCGTGTGTAGGCTGGGCACTGCTTAGAGCCCAGATTGAGCACCTCCGTCGGTGTGGCATGACAACAGCCTACTCATCCTTTCTAGTCTTGGTCCATTTCCAATTTCCCACCAAGGAATGAGTTTCAAAACTGTCTTACTTTGGCTTTCCCTGGAAGCTAACTTTAAGACACAGATTTGAGCACAAGAGGTTTATTTGGAAGATGTAGGGTCCACTGGAGGGGTGTGGTAGAGAAGTGAAAGCTGCCAATAACATGTGAGTTACTAAACCAGTTACCCTGGCTGAGACCTTAACCCATGGAAAGACCGTGGTGGGAAACCCACTTCTCAGAGCCTTACCACCTGAGGCACAGGGAAGCTGGAGTATTTACACACCACCTCTTGTTAGTGTTGTTAGTGTTTGTTGAAAGCTACTCTGGGGGCTGTGGCACTTCTAAGGAAAGGAAGGGGTAAAAACCCTCATGTACAAAGATGTAGATACTGAAACTTTAGGGCCCAAAGGATACTGGGCATGGGATGGATGAGGGCAATGACACTGGCTGTCACAGAAATTGAATTTAGATATTGTTGGAAACGTTTCTATCTCCCCTGCACCTTGGCCCTGAGCCCAACCTAGATCTGGTTACTGGGTTGGCCCCAAGAACAGGACTTCAGGTGCTTGTAACTGTTGAGTGTGTTGCTGAAGGGGTGGATTCAAAGATGCTGCACTGAGAAGCAGCTAGATGAAAGCCAGAAAGGAGAACCTGGGAGTGATGTCAACAAGGTTGAGGCTGGGAAGTCCCAGGCAAGAGAGGGTTTGAAATAGGAGGAGAAGGAAATGAAGCCTGGAGTGAGTTCTGTATCAAAATAAGGAAAATACAGCCACAGTGGTTGTATACAAGGCTCTGAGGCTCCTGTTGCCCTAGGCAGGGACAGGGAGGGAGCATAATGAGGACAGTGAACAAACGGGTGGCTGTGGGGTTAAGGGGATTCAGCAGTGAGCCAAGAAGTTCTCAGACCATGCATGTTAGGGTCCAAAAGATTTGGAAAAATGTATGCTTAAATCTTGGAAGTCACCAAAGCCCTCGCTTCTCTGTTACAAGCAGGCAAGTTTACCATGTCCTCCCACAGCACTGCTCAGACCACTTAATGTCAGCACAGAGACTGCAGGAGGCCTGCCATAGAGAACAGGGGCATGAAGAATGCAGAGCCAGCCAGCCTGCCTCCTCCAGCCACCTCCATGCTGGAAGCCCTGGGTAGGGACTGACATGGATCTTTCTCCCCTTGGGGAATTTTCCAAGCCCAGGGGAGCATTTCCAAGTGGGCCTCAGACTGCACATGGGGGAAACACTGGTCCTTCATTCAGGCTGAGCCTCAGGCTTAGAGATGCAGATAAGGGATCTCAGATAGTGAAAGTCACCAAACTCATTCCTATAGCAGTTCCTAGAAAAAACATTGAGACTTTTCTCTTCATGTTGCATTCACTCTATCTATCTATGACTACCAAACTAATCTTTAAATTGATCAAAGACCCTTTTCCACACCTTCATGGAATGGACACTGGGTAATTGTGGGCTTGATGCGGGTGAAAGCACGGGCACAACAAACCCATCTTTCTTGGGATGACCCAGTGTGGACTTTTCCCATGGACAGCCCTCTTCTGAGCATCTGCTATGGCCCAGACACTGTGTGAAGCGCCCAACACATATTAACTTTTAATCATCGCAACAGGTTTTCAGGGACATTTGCCAAGCTTAGGCCTGTGCTCCGTTCCACCTGACTTTGCATTGCTATGCAGCCCTTTTTGCCAAACAACAAAAGATGAGGCTTGGGAGGCTCAGGCTGGAAGTCTGAAGATTCAGGGCCAGGTATGACTCTGCTCCACTCAGTAGCTGTCATCCTGGGTCACTTGTCTTCCTCTCTGGGCTTCAGTTTCCTCCTTTGCGCAATGATGGACTTGGGACATCTCTTCTCCAGGCCTGTTCATGTTCTCATGTTCTGTGCCCTATTTACTTTCATTACTGAGCACATTCTGGACTTGACTTTCACAAGAAGCTGCAAATGGAGTGAAATGGGTTGATTAGATTAATGTGATTTCACTTTGTTCACTTATGCAACCATCAGTGAATATTTATTATGCAGTCGATAAATGGAATGCTCAAGGAGATACACCCTTTGAGGAATATTACAAAGTGAATGCGTGAATTTAGAATGTGCAAAGGATCCCCCATGGATGACTTCCAGTATCCAAGCTCCTTGCCTGTTTCCATCTCCTTAGGTGAGCTCTGGGTACCTGTTCCATTACAAGGTCCCTTCATCTTCTGTCTTCACTCTTTCTAATTTCACTGGCACCTTTTCTTCAGCCATAAATTATGATTAAGACCATCCCATCTACACACACACACACACACACACACACACACATTCACACACATTTTCCTTCAATTTTATGTATCCTTTAGCAATCACTCTATATTGATTCTTTTTTCCTCTCTACTTGGCCAAAATTTATGAAGGAGTTCTCTGTGAGTGCTCTGCCTACTTTCTCACTTCCATTTCACTTCTTGTCTCTACCACTCATTCATTTATTTCCATTCATTCAATAAGCTTTTTTTTCTGTATGCTAGGCATAGAGGTGCTATGGATACAAAGATTAGTGCTAGGTGCTGTGGATACAAATATGAGGAGCAACTCCATCCTTACAATGCACATGATCTGGCTCCCATTGCAGAGGAGGCTTTCGGGCTGCTGTACCACCACTCCCAGCACCGAGGAGGTGAGCCTCATGGGTGCCAGTAGCACCCCTAACCCCAACCCCACCCCACCCCTGTCAAAATGAGAAGACACGTAAACAAGCCTCAAAAACAGACTTCTGGATAACCTACAGCAACCCCAAAAGGGAAACGCGATGGAACACTGATACTCAACCACCTGGACTCCCTGAACTGGCAACAAAAGAGGATTTGGAAAAAATGAAATCAGAAATAATTTCTCAGA